CATCTCTTTATAAGGAACCAAATGCTACTGTTATGTAAAAAATTTGCAATTGTAGTTCTTTAATTCTTTGAATGAAATGGGCTTACCATTAGGCAACTGCATTATCCCTTCGTCACATCTTGGAGTAGGAAGGTTACTTTTTGTACCAAAAATCGGGATGCTTGAGCTGGAAGGAGCTGGAGAAATGTAGGATTTTGCTGAGATTTTTTTAAGCTAATGAAGTTGTACAGGAAAATGCTTATACTACCCACTTATCCACCACCACTCATTTCTATCTACTTATAATTTAAAATCACTTAAAAATACTTCCCAAACATGCTTTCACTTTCTAGCAGTCAAACAAAGAGGCAATTAAACAAAAAATTCAGTACCACCTAATCCCCCTAAAGATTTTTGTACCAAAAATCAGGATGCTTGAGCTTGGAAGGAGCTGGACAATTGTTGGATTTCCTGAGATTTTCTTTAAGCTAATGAAGTTCTACAAGAAAATGCTTATGCTACCCACTTATCCACCAACCACTCATTTCTAAATACTTATAATTTAAAACCACTTACAAATACTTCCCAAACATGCTTTCACTTTCTAGTAGTCAAACAAAGAGGCAATCAAACAAAAAATTCAGTACCAACTAATCCCCCTAAAGAAAATTGACAGTAGATTCAGGATTATTAGTAAGCCTATATCTTAAACGAAACTGCAAAACTGAACACGTAAAATCATAAGAAGGAAGGCAAGAAAATATTCAGAAAGGGGCTTAAGAAACCCAATAGACCTATAAGAAAATTGTACACTAGGAAATTAGTATATTAGTTCAAAATAAGATGTGTTTCATTCAAAGAGGAATGGACCTACAAAACGATTATTGTTTTGCAAGCTCCCAAACTCCATATCTTCAATCAAAAGAAGTAAAAAAGAAGCAACATTGAAAAAGAGAAAGTAAAGACGAGAGAATAGCGATCATAATCCACAGATAAAAACAGCAATTTGGTACAATCCTTAACCTAATAATTGATATAGCATCAAAAGAATACATGGAATCCTAATTACCTATCATGCAAAAGCATAAAGAGATGCACCTTCAACGTCCCGAGACTCGAACTGAATGTGCAACTGAAATATGATGAAATAGAGCTGAGGCTGGGTTCCCTAGAGAGTGCACAAGCAATATCACAAAGCTCGTCCCTCTGCAACGTGGCTCCAACCTGCCTTTCCCAGTTATCATATATTCTACCCATCACTATATATAGTTTATTAAATAAATATCAAAGTATCATTTGAATACACACAGTTGATGAAGTGAAGTACTCTAGACACTCCCTAGTCATTATAAAGTATAAACTTCATTAACCCTTAATTTGATGTATTTGTTTACAGCTATTGCACATAATAATGCGTTTCATGAAGAATTTAGTGGTATTTTGCAATGGAAACTAAGATCTTAGAATTCAGACATGAAAAGCTAAAGGCCCGTTTGGCTGGGATTTTAAAAAGCCAAAATCCGTTTTTAGAAAGTCTTACGGAAGCAAAGTAGAAAACATATGGAATTGCTACGAAGTGCCCTTTTTTCCTTTCACTCACTCACTTCTCAGAAGGTTCTATGTCCTATTTTATTAGGACAAATTTCTTCACATTCTAGGTTTTAAACACTCCTCCAATCTCCATATGGAGAAACTTATGGCTTCTTTCCCATACGAATGGAGTTCAAAAAGGGTATAATGTGCTGCTGATGCTACAACCAGAGCCATCGACAAGACCAAGTGGCATGGAAGGATTATGCTCGTGGAGAAATCAAAATCTCATTACCATTTCTTTCGAGTGAGCTATCAGCATCGGACAAGTAGCAGCGCACAGTAGTTATTCTACTGCATGTGTCTAGCCAAAAGAATAATGACATAATTCATGCTTTAAGCTTCTCATTGAAGTGTTAGTTATGTCAGTAACACCTTAGAATCCTTGCAATTTTATTATGAATCTGCAGATAAGAAATCATCCTGATATGAAGCAATTTTCACTTTCCATGCACCTCCAGCCATGTCAACATTTATTTGCAATAGTATTTACATCCTACTGGTAACCACGTTAAAATTCTGCTCTCAAGGGACTTCTATTCTCATGTTATAATTGCAGATAAAGTGATCAACCCATTTGATGGCTCTGCTTGATAGCTATGAAGCATTATTGTTTCCTAGTATTAGTCCCCTACTCACAACACCACCATGGTAGAGCTTTAAAAACCAGCACAGATATCAAACCACGATACATAATTTCTCACTTTGTTCTTGTGCAATAATACATGGAAGAAAGCTCCAGCAGGCAGCATGTCAATGCCACCAATAGCTTACACATACTGAAAGATAGAAGACTAAAATTTTCAAGGACTAAACTGGCAGCCACGCTCCACTTTGCAGCCAGCAAAAAGAGGGATTCACCAAGTCTTTTTCTAAACCTAAAGCATCCTAAACCCCATACAAGAATATACATTCAGGGCATAAAAAATATAGTTCGTCACTACAACATAAAAAGGTTGATACATAGAGGGCATCGTCACCCTGGACATTCACGGAGCAGAACACAACTAAAATAATCACAAATAAACACTTGGGGTGTTGAATAAAGGGGAAAGGGAATCAACAAAACATTTTGGCTAAATAGATATAAACTTTATTAATAAAGGAGCAATTACAATCTACTGTATAACCCATGAGATGAACTGATGATCAAAGGATAGAAAATAACTCAGGAAAACCAAAACAGTTGTCCTCAAGACACACATGAATATAATAATAGGCTTCTTTACTAACTACAAACCACTCACAGTACACAATATATTAGCTATTAATAAGAATTACGAAGGCTTAGAAACCATGAATCTTGACCTGATCCTTCTTCACAAGTCCAGCACTAACCAAAAACTGTGAAACATTCTTGCGTTGATCGCCCTGGAGCTGGATCACCTTCCCGAGCTCTTTGTCTTGCACAACATTACCGTTGCAGCAGAACTCCTTCTTGAGGTCTTTGAGGATCTTCTCGTATCTGAATTCCTTCCTCAGTCCCTGGACTGTAGTCAGGCTTTTCTTTCCGTTCCTCTGTTGTATCCTTATGTGCACATACTCCTTTGCCCCGGGGGTACCGGACTCTATGGCTTCGGCAAATGGATCAAAAGCAGTAGGAACTGGTATGTCTAGCTCAACCATGTAACTTGTTGGACTAAAAAGAGATCCGATGCGTGTAACTGTGCAGGAGCTGAATATGATTTTTCATTCAAATTATTAAAATGATGAAATCTTTACATACACAAAGTAAGCAACAGAAGAACAGGTAATGCAAACGCCAATAACGTTAACAGCCAATCAATTAAAAAAAAAAAAAAAAACCATAATCAAACCCCCACTCTCGCCCCCCCCGCGCACACCCACGTGTTAAAATCATGCTTATACGCCAATTAATAAACATATTCAATTAATTAGATCAAAAACTCATCAAGAATCGAAATCGGAAATTGATTAAATGTGATTACACGAAAAGAAGTCTCAATTATTATAAATTATATTTGCAATAATTAACTAAAAAAACCCATCAAGAATAGACGTCCGAAATTGATCACAGATGAAATAAAATACTAGTTTAATCCAACCCAATAAACGAAAATAAATAAATAAATAAAAATCAAGAGGAACGCACCTGAAAACTCTAACCTTCAANAAAAAAGCACTAAAAATGTTAATCTTTTGTTTCCATAAAATTTTAATAAATTTAATTTACTATTTAATCAAGTGGAATAAATCTGTCAAATGTACATTGATCATAATTAAATATTTGACAAAATAATTTATGATAACATTATTCAAATGATTAAATAAATCCAATACATACTGAAAAACGAAAAGGTAATAAATCTTTAAAATAGGTTTAAATAAATAAATACATATTGAAAAATGAAAAGTAAAATAATGAATGTGCCAAATGTATATTTAATAAATTATAGATATTTTATCTATTTTTGTCCCATTTTCTAAAATTAATTTTCAATCAAACATTTCATGAAATCTATAATTTTTATCAAAAAAAATAAAAATTTGATTTTTAGCTAAAACAAACTAAGGTGGTATCTTGTTTGTTCAGCTGCCTCACAAGCTTGGCAACTTTTCTGGAATTGATTATAAGAAGTAACAATACTACATATATTCGAGAATATTCAAATATGTTTGATTAAGTGGAAATTACGTAATATCAGAGATTTAAAGATAATAGGTCAAAAATTATGGATGAAGTTCTATTATTCAAAAATAAGTTATTGACATAATAATTATATATTAAATGTTTTTATTCAATTCAATTACAAATCCTAATTTTATTTCATTCTTCTCACTCTCCCTCCCCATCTTCTTCCTCTCGTTCTCATGCCCATTTCTCTATTAGATGCTGTCGGAGCACTCCTCTCGGGAATCGCTCCTTCTCCACCATTTAAGCAACATCGTGTTGCTTAATGAAGAGATCGGAGCCTCAACGCTAGGAAGTGCAGGGGCGACGATTTGAAATCTTCTCCGATTAGTGGCGTTTATCCGTCGATTTGTTTGTGGCCCATGGTTTGCTTGTTAGTGGTAGTGGTACGGCTAGGAGATGGCAACGCTGTGAACGTCGCTTTTCGTGGCTCTGCTTGATTTCTTTTTCTTCCTTTTTTAGTATCAACAGGTGGTAGTGCGGTGATTGATTGGAGGTGGAGCTGGTGGGTGGTTGGAGCAGGATACATCGACTATTTTCATGGGGCATGACGGTTTAAAACTATCATACATCGCCGATGTATGTGATGGTAGAGCTGCTGGTGGCGGTTCATGAAGGTGATGGTGATGGTGCAATGGTGGTGGTGGTGTGGTGCTGATGACGGTCGTAGGGTGAGGGTGGTGGTAAGTGGCGATAGTGTTGATGGTGGTATTATGTGACCCAATATTTTGGTGTATGTAATCAATTATCTGATTATTTGTGATCAAGTGTTAAATCATGACCTTAAAAAGTTTGATAACTCATGACTAAAAAATAATTTATGACCAACAAATTTGAGAATCCACGATTTATAAAATTTTTTATTTATGATCTTGAAATAATCTGTGATCATTTGATTTGATAATATTTCACAAATAAATAAGTTGTGATCTATAATTATATGTATATAAAATCAATAATGATATAATTGTGATCTTATTATATTTAATTAATAAATATTTTTAATTAATTAACTAATACCTATTTTTGTATTTTTAAACTTAAAACATGATTTTTGAATTGTCCATAATACATGATTTGTGAATTTTTCCCTTTGATTAATTGTAAGATGGACAGACAATATTGAAGACAACTTCATGTTTAAGAAATTAAACCGACCTTTTCTATTTGAACTTTGAGATAATTTATTCTCTTAACCACATCCAATTCAGGCGAGGGTCAAAACCTAACTCAATTGGTAACAATGAAGTCTTGCCAGAACGATGACCTCTATCCAAGCCTCCTGTCCTCTTCAAAATGTCTTATTTTCGCTACGTCAGCTAGATAGAATCCCACTTTTTCTACACGAGAGAAATTTTAACAGTTTATAGAATCCCACTTTTTTCTACACGAGAGAAATTTTAACAGTTTATTTTACTCGTACAA